TGTGGGGGCTCTCTTCCGAGCGTGTGGAAGGCTACCTTCTCGTTGCACCCTCACTCCAAGGAGAGAATGCCAGCAGACTCTGGTGTCTTTTTTATAAGGGCACCAATCCCAACTCAGGCCTCCACCCTCACAATCTCACCTAAGTCTAATTACTGCCCACAGGCCCCATCCCCAAATGTCACATTGAGCATTAAGACTTCAACTTATAAATGTTGGGGGAACACAAACATTCAGTCCATAACACTGCCTCATATTCACTCCCCTTTCTGAGACTTGCACCCCGATTTTCCTTTGTGGGATCACACCTTCCTCACTCAGTTCCTATGGTTTTACTGGGCGGAACCTACCCCACCCCCAGCTTCAGGGGTAGAAGTTGACCTGGCCACCAAAAATGTTCCACCCTCTGGCTATAATTGGTTGATAGCTGGGTGAGGAAAATCGCTGGAACGTGGGAGGTGGAGATTGCAGTGAGCCAAGATCGATCGCACCACTGCGCTCCAGCCTGGGCAACAGATGAGACCCTGTCTCTAATAATAATTGGTTGAAAAATGGAACCATAACCCATAGTTGGACCAGTGAGAGACAGTGCCTATTATGGACTGAACTGTGTCCTCCCTGCACCAAATACATATGGTGCAGCCCCACCCCCCAGTGTGACTGTATTTGGAGACAGACCCTTTGGGGAGATAATTATGGTTAAAAGAGGTCACAAGAATGGGGCCATAATCCAGTAGGGCTGGTGTCTCTTTAGGAAGAGACATCAGAGATCTCTCTCCTCCGTCCATGCACACAGAGAAAAGGCCATGCGTGGACACAGCAAGAAGGCAGCCACCTGAAGTCATGAAGAGAGGCCTCACGCAGCCAACCACGATGGCACCTCTAGTCTCCAGAACGGTGGGAAGCGAATTCCTACTGACAAGCCACCCAGTACGTGATACTTTTCTATGGCAACCCAGGCAGACTGAGGCCGTACCAGAACCAGCGGAAAGACAGGCTGTTATAACGAAGGTGGGATTGTTGTGTAAGCCTGAGCTGTCAGAGCTCATGAGAGGGCCTGTCTGACAGAAAAGCCAACATAGAGGAGAGTAAAGCCAGAACATGGAGGTCCCGACTGTTTCTGAAGCACCTGGATCCAGCCTTGCCTGAAGTGGGCATAGACACACCTCTGCATATCACAGTGACTGAAGCCAATGAATTATTTTGTTTTGCTTTTTATTGGTTCGTGTGTTTTTCAGACAAGGTCTCACTCTGTTGCCCAGGCTGGAGTGCAGTGGCATGATTATGGCTCACCATAGCCTTGAACTCCTGGGCTCAAGTGATCGTCCCACCTCAATTTCTTGAGTAGCTCAGACTACAGGTGTGCACACCACCATGCCAGGC